TGCAGCTGAGAAAATGTAGGTTAAGTATTAGGCAAGGTTTTTGAGCTGAGAGAGTGGTTAGGCACCATGACAGGCTCCTAGGGAAGGCTGTTGTTGCGCTGCGTTCTTGCCTAGTCTGTTTTTTAGTTCCAGGTCAGTCAGAAATTTGTTTCTGTAGCTGTAGGGGAGAATGCAGGGCGACACTAGCATCTCCCTTGCTGGAAGTATCAATAGATAATACATCCATCTATCAAGGATGATCTGGAGCTAATGAAACCTGACCTCGCCTCTTGGATGCGTTTGGATTAGATGAGTAAGAAGTAATTTTCTAAGACAAATGAAGAGTTAAGCAACTGTTACTTACTGTATTGCCTTGGACCATCTGGTACATGGCATCCGAGATGAAACACGATTTATCTGGCAAAGCTACACTGAATACAGCAGCGCGGCTGTAGGAGTGGGAAGTGGCTTCGGGTTAGGAGAGAGAGCACATAAAAGAGAATAAAGGAAGTAATTTTTCAGAGTGGAAGTGTAGCTTTAATATAAGAAGTGAAGAGTCAGATAAGCCAGACTTTTGTTGTAACTCAGACTCAGCTCTTGCACTACATATGGCATAGCTTATCTGGTAATTTTTGCATCTAGCCTGCAACTTTTATTTTATTGAGAGTAAATCTTTAAAAATAGAGACAATCTTTAGGATTTGGCAGTAAAAGTAATGCACAAGTAAGATGTGATTTCAGTTTCTGAATGACATAGCTGTTCCAGGTCATAATTGCTTGTTAAGCAATTAAGGTCTTTTGAATTCTAACAAACATACATTTCACTAAGCCACTGGGGGAAAACTGCAAGAGAACATCACTGTCAAACTGGTAAGACTGGTAAAAATGCTAATTATGTCTAATGAAATAATGAAACACAAAGCTGTCTCACCTTCACAAGTGTGCATTTGCAGAAAGCCCTGTGAAAAACCAGAAGCTGCTGCTGAAGGACAGACTTTAATATATATGTTGAGATTCTGTATAGAGTAAAAAATTGCAGTCTTTGAGCAATATACCCAAAGAAAGATTACTGTACCTTCTTTGGTTCCCTTATCCCTCCTGCCCTGGAGAAGGATTGTTATAAATACTCCACGTGAATCAAAATGTTGTGTGTAGTGCACTGTATTTCCATGTTATATTTTTTCAAAATTTGTTTTAAAACCTGTGTTATACTGAAAGAAAAGAACTTATTTACTATAGTTCTTTGTTTGGGTTTATTCTATAATAGCTCAAATATATTCAGAAAAAATGCTTGCTTTTTAAAAAATAAATAACCCAGCACTTTCTTTTTTCTTATAGGACCAGCTCCAGATATAGTTTCAGACAAAATCTATCAAATAAGCAAAACCTTGGAGGAATATGCCATTTGTCCGGATCTCAGAGTTGATTTATCACGCCTAGGAAGACAAGAATTTGATCTGGAGAACAAATTCAAACCTTTCCGAGGTATCAATGTGTGCATTTATGCATGCTACGTCCACCAATTCTAAATCGTAGAATTGCTGAAGAAGTATGATGGGTAATATTTAAACAGAACTTGAGTTCTTCCAAATGCCTTACTTCAAGTTCTCAAAATATTAGGCAGGATAGAAGTGTTGTGTTTGTTTTGCGCATAAGGAAGCTGAGTTTCAGACTTCAGGTGCATCAGGGCTTATCATTTAGCCAAATACTTAGCTAAATACGTGCTTAAGCTTGCTAGTAGTTAAACAACAAACACAGACATTTTTTGATTTGGAGTGGTTTGCTCATGGAAGTCTAATTGACAAGAGTTCATGAGAGTCTCAGTTTACTCATTCTTTGCTCACACTTTCTGAAAAGATATGACATGAATAAGGCACTATACATCCAGAGACTCCAAATGTAAAGGGAATGCTTAAGCACGTTTCATTTTAAGCATGTGAATACTTTCTTTGCTGACACTTGATGTGAAATGAGCTAACACAGCCACTTGGTCCTCAGGGAGTCAAAAGCAAAGGAAGGGATCCAGATGGTATTTCAAATACTGTAAAACTCTGTGGCCTCAGGAACTCTTCCTCAGTCCTGATGTCCTAGAATAAACGGCAGTTTATTTTCCACCAAAACAACATGTTTTGAGACAAAATACATTTTGATAAATATAGCTTTTGATTAAAGAAAATCTTAAATTATGATTTTTTGATTGCAAAGAACATGTTTAGGTTTTTAAGCAAATAGCAAAAAAAAAAAAAATCAGTTGCAGCATCACTCTGGAATCATGTGGTTGCCACCATTTTAAATTTTGCTTTTCAACTTCTTAATCTCTCACAATTGTATTTTTCTAAATGAAAATGAAACACACCCCACTCCCCTCCCTACCCCTGGTAGCATAAGAATAGATTAAAAATAATTGAATGTTGTCTGATATTTTTCTAAGGAAAAATAATTTCCCAGTCATCTCTTCCCAGAATACATCATCCTGCAAGGGATCCCTACTGAAACGATGTAATTGACTTAGAATTGCAGGACTAAGTATAGTTTACACAGGTCTGAATGCAGAATGAAAGTGCAGAAAGAATGAAAATAATTTTAAAAGTATTTTAAGTTACTGTGTGATGTATTTGAAGTTTCTGCTTTTTCAGTTGTATGAACTATCTCCTGTGACTCAAACCTACACAGGTACTGAAGCAACTGAGAGTAAACCAGTTGGGTTTGCAGGAGCTAAAATAATTTTTAGCCTTCAGTCTTACATGCACTTAACTTGTGGGAGCAACTGCACTGCAACTGGGGCATTTGTCCATATGTGGAAAGGTCAGACCCTACTTAAACATTGCTAGGAACAGGGAATAGAAGATAATAGGGTAATGTAATTTTAGTGAATTTAGTGTTTTCCAGCGTTGAGAACCTTTTTTCTTTGTTTCTGCATTCAGGTGTATTGTTATAATCTATTCTAAGCATTTTTCTCAGGCTCGAAAAATGTCTGTGTCATTTTCTTGTTGTCCTAAAGAAGATCATTCGGGTGAGGTCAGTGTTTCTGAGGAAAATTGGCTGATATTCTAAGTAATAATTGAATTTGTAGCTAAAATATTTCAAGATACTAATTTAACCAGATAAAGACACTTGTATAACATACGCTTTTTGCTTTAATCATGAAAAGTAATACATTACAAGATGACTGAGAAGTGGCTTTTGACAGTGATTTGGAAACTGTCTTCATTATGACAGACTTACTTTAATTAATTCATTTTTGTTTTATGTTTTACATCTGAAAGAGCTACAAAAATTGTAGTGCTCTGCTTTTATGAATTTAAAATTCAAATTGCCAAGACGTTAGCAAAAAACAGATGTTGTATCTGAGACTTAACTTTCCTAAATCTGTGAGACACAAAATGTGAAAGTATAGTGGTAGGTGGACAACAAGCTGGAGAGAGATATTCCAGGTGCCAAAACCGAGAAGAATAGGCTGTATGTCTTCTGATGGAATGGTGCAGACAGACAGTGCTGTCAGATAGAAGAACATCTGACTTCAACTTGGCGTGGACATCTTCCATCCTCTGCGAATAAACCTGTTGAGCTTGAAAAGTTGTTCAGTGATTTAGTGAATGATAAGTAAAGGGTTTCCTTTGATAAAATGTACTCTCCTGAATTTTTTCAATGAAATAGGAACTGTCAACTTATGTTACCTCTGCAGTCCTTTAGCAGGCATACTTGCTGATCTTTACAAGGCTTAAAGCTTGATGGTAGCCACACTGAAATCAGTGAAGTCTTTGGCTTTTCCTCTATGGGCTTCAGAGCAGATCTGTATTGTGTAGGGGTTGCATGTTCTGGTTTTAGTTGAGGTGCGTGGCTGGTGGAATTGTGCTGAAAGAGACATTTGCCCATGTATGCGCTGCAGTGACTTTTTTCTGCCTAATTTTTCTAGTGGAAATTGTGGATTCTGTGGATATCTACCTCAGTCTCCTTCGAAGTATCTTTGACTTCAATGCGATCAGAAATTTGCTGACCGGACCCAACCAGATTAAAATAAGGATCGATGCCATGAATGGAGGTATGAACTTAATTTGCTATCAGGACAAAATTATAGGTACACCACAATAGCTTCCCAATAGAGATGGTGCCCTGCAATAGTTTCCCAATAAGGTACAGTGTATGAAAGTCAGAATTTTTGGTAAGTTTAAGGGTAATAAAATGGATTTTAACATTATACTGGTAACAAAGGCAATCTTAACAAGAGGTTAGGTCACTTATTAGGCAGACATTTATCTTCCTTGATAAGTGAAGGCATATGTGTCCAATAAGTGTTGTCTTTCTGCATTTGGAAGCAAGCAGGATGAGGTAATCTTGCCATGAGAGAGTGATGAAGTATGTTGCAGTGTGCAGTAACCAAGGAGGTTTCAAGGCAGACTCTACTAAGAATAAATTCTAAATGGTGTCAAATTAGTTAAGTCTGAATGCATTGCACCCAAGAGTCAGTACAGAGTTGACTGAGGCTTCTGTTTCACTAATGTTAACTGTTAAAAATTTCAGTGTACTGGGGGCAAGATGAAAGAAGGTGTCACAGGAGACAGCAAGGGACCAATTCTGTGCCAATAGTAAAAAAATTACAAGCCATGTCACTTGCGGAAACATAGATCAGTACGGGATCTATCTTAGGCTACATCATAAAAAAAAATACGTAAAGATTTCTACAGATAATGACTTGAAGGATAGGAGTGTAAGTAATGCTATTCAGCATTATCTTATGGAAAACAAATTCTGTCAAACAAACCAGGTTTCATTTTTGAATGGGATTACAAAAATAGACTGCTAAAGGTAGCTGGATAGACTTAGAAAGCTTTTGTAAAGCATTTTATCTAGTACAGTGTGATAGTCACTCTTGAAATGATTGAAGGGACTCTTGAAAAGACCGTGGGCCCAGAGTCAGTGTGTAAACTCACAGTTTTACCAGCTAAAGGGCAGATTATGTCCTTGAACAATGCAGATAGGGCAGCGAGGAAGGCACTGCCTCCTGTCACGTACAGAACTGGAGAGAACATTACTCAAGTAGTTTGTGGAGTTCTGATATCCAGATCTGTAACTGAGTGTTGAAAAATTTTACACATGGTCAAAAAGAGGCATAGTCTGGCTGAGTATTAGGAAAACTGATGCATCACAGACATTTTAAAGGACTGAGTTTGTTTTCTTTATTTACAAAGGGATAAAGAATTGGCTTTATGACTGTATATTGGTGGAGAAATAGCCATGGTATAATACAGAGTACGCATGCAGTAAGAATATTCAAGAATATTTGTTTATACAACAGAGGAAGTTTTTCTGTTTTCACAGAAAAATTATTTATCAGTCTTCTATTCCCCCAAATACTAAAAGGAATCAATAGTGACAAGTTGAGGCCAGACAAATGAAGATTGAAATGTAGCTCACATGTTTAGGGGTAACAGTGAATAATCACTGGAGCAGTCTGCCAAAGATAGTTAGGGCTTGTCCTTCTGTTGGTGGCATCAGGCTGCAAGACTTTGGATTTTTGGCCTTAGCCAAAAGTGAGTCTCTTGCCACGGTATAGTGAATGTTAGAGAGGACCACATATGTATGTGGACAAGCTGTCGTCCAGAGTTTGTTTTAGCTATGCACCTCTGGAATATGGTTGGATGCTTGTAGGCATTGATAGCTTAACATTGCCATAAAAAAAGAGTAATTTCTCAGGAACCTATTTTTGGTATTTTTTTCCCACCTGACTCAGGGATGCAGAGACCTCAGTCAGTTGCTAGTGTCTGTTCAGCCACCGAATACATGGAACAGTTACATATAATAGGAGCTGGGGTCTTGGTTGCCTTCGTTTTGTTGGTTAACAAAACAAAGAAGCTATTTTGGAGTTAGTTTTGAGAAAGTTTTTATTTATTATCTACAAGACAGTAAATAAAATGTGGTAAAATTATTAGGTGGACAAAACTGTCGGAATTTTAGCATGAATTAGAATGTTGACATAAATGTATTTTCCATTTGTATTCCCCTACTGTTTATTTTCCTTGCTATTGTGTCTTAAACTCTTGTTTGCATTCTGGAACACAAAGAAGAACATCTTATTTTCATTCTAGTGTGAAAAAAACCCTCTGTGTTTATGATAAATGCTTTATTTAATAATGGGTAAATAAAACTTGCGTTTTTCACCATTCAGTCGTTACTTTTCACTTTCACTAGTGAGGAACTGTGTTTTTAATGCTGAATTGCAGATTGACTGTTCACTGGGGGGACAGTCACATACTCCTGTGGGGAATAATAGTTTGTTTTTTCTTGCTAGGACAGATTTATAGAATTGTTGAAGATATGTTTCATAAATCTCCATGGTGCTGTGAAGAATTTGAATGTCAGGCATATGCTTTTGTGATTGCATGGCAGATTTCTGTATTTGCAGTTATGGGACCTTATGTGAGAAGAATCCTGTGTGATGAACTGGGAGCTCCTGCAAACTCTGCCATAAACTGTATTCCTCTGGAGGATTTTGGTGGACAGCCTCCTGATCCCAATTTAACATATGCAACTGCCTTGCTGGAGGCTATGAGAGGTGGCGAGTATGGATTTGGAGCTGCTTTTGATGCTGATGGAGTAAGTATTTTGATCTGTCTGGAGGTTTCACTGTAGTTATTTTGTTTGGGGGTCAGATACGGGTCATGTAAGTATAATTTATTTGCTTTTCAGTAAGCCCTCAAAGCTGAAAGTGATATTACTTTCAGGTACAGATGATAGCATTTGCAACACATAAATCAGACACATATGTTGTAATTTGTCTCAGCAGATGACTGCAGATCAAGCAGGATTGAATGCAGAATGAGAATTCTTTAAATATTGAGCTGGTTTTGTCTTGTACTGGTGTAACATTTATTCCCTGGGTAGGAAGAGACAGCATATATAGATAATACGGACTTGTCACAGGAAGTAGTAACTGAGTTCAGTCCTTTTCGGTTAACGTTGTAAATTGAGGGTTCTTTAGCTAAATAAAGCACTGTATCATAATCTGTTTGTTTTAATTATTTTTATGTCGTATTATCGGTATTATAAACAGTGAAGTATAACAGAAACAACTTTCTGCCTGGACAGGATGGAGAAAGATGAGAAGGTTCTGCAGAACAGAAGCTATTTTCTGTTGTCAGTAAACACAAAACACCCTCCCACGCTCCGTATAGTGTTTGTTGTTGGCAAAAAGATTCTCCTACACAAGCATTCCCTGGCAGGAACAGACCTACTGAAGTGTCATGTAGGAGGCTGACGCTAGGGACTGATCTGAAGCTTTGATTTGTAAGACTGGAGGCAGTGATGGTGTGATAGTGAGATATAAACCTGCCAGGATGATTGCCAGTAAATTATTTCGTCCCAAGAGGGATGCGAGTTACCCAAAGCCTGTTCTTTTTTTCCCTACTTACAGTGGATCTAATAAAATAAATTGCCACTCCTCAAAATGTGGAATTTAAGGTGCTTTTTTGAATTTCTTTTCTTCTCCAGGACCGGTACATGATCCTTGGCCAAAATGGTTTCTTCGTTAACGCGTCAGATTCATTGGCTATAATTGCAGCCAACCTGTCTTGCATTCCATACTTCTGTCAGATGGGTGTCCGAGGATTTGGCAGGAGCATGCCTACCAGCACAGCCCTGGACAAGTAAGATGAAACGTTTATTTCTATCACCTTGGTCATTACATTAGTTATCTCTCTGTTTTGTACTACGTAACAATGCTGAAATTGAGAAGTCTTTTGATAAGAGCTTTTAATTTTCACAATCTGTATGTGCTTTATTGTTTTAACTAGTTTTGTTGATATTTTGATCTTACCTAGGCTAATTTTACCAACCTTTACTTAGATGAAAATAGTTTAATTCAGCCTGGAAAAGAAATAAATAAAGTATTTTGAGAGTACCAACACTTGACTGATAATTAATTTTCCAAATAACCTTATTTGTTTTCATAGTAAGTAATAGTTTACAGCCTAATTTAGGAGCCCTTCTTACGGAAGTCATGGAAGTTTAAAACAGATACTAATTCAGTACTAAACAAGCATTTAAAAAAAAACCCAAACAAAAATCCCGTCTTATTTTCAGCTGTTGAACTGTGTCATCTACTATGATACAAAATGTCCCAGAAAGGACTGTCATGAAATCCATTCACAGTTTCACAGAATCACAGACTGGTTTGGGTTGGAAGGGACCTTGAAGCCCATCTAGTTCCAACCCCCCTGCCATGGGCAGGGAACCCTTCCACTACACCAGGGT